CACTAATGAGTAGCCCTTTGAAAGTAATGCCAAAAACCTACTACCACTGGAAACTCCATAGTAAAAGCTGGAAATAGCCATTTCTTACAGTGCTTTTCAGTAGCTACATTTATAAAATCATGCACTGAAGTACATACTATATTACTGCAGGGACCATTCTGTAATTTTTTTTTCTCTATAGAACTATTCTACAGAAGGACTTTAGGCTTTCTCTAATAAGGAGTGGAGGGATCTATAGACCTGAAATGCCCATGCTTCACTTGATAGTTTAATTTTTAAATGCCCCTTTGCACTATTTTGCCCTATCTCAGTCAGCTGTACCTTTCCAGGCAGTCAGTGCAGTCACCACCTACTTCTTCTTGGTAGCCTTTAATATAGGAAAAGTGAAATTTCACTTTCCTAAATTAATGTTGAACAGGAAAACCACATGTATTCAGTATGGAAAATCCCAGGATAGGTAACTAGTCTTTATATGTATATGCTTATCTTATATGCTTATATATTTATGTAGACATATATCTTTATATTTTAACGCTGGTGTGTGCTGAAGTTGTCCCTATTCAATCCACAGTTGTTGCTATATATGACTATACAAAGGACAAAGATGATGAGCTGTCGTTCATGGAGGGTGCAATCATTTATGTGATAAAGAAGAACGATGACGGCTGGTATGAAGGAGTTTGCAACCGAGTAACTGGCTTGTTTCCTGGGAATTACGTCGAATCAATCATGCACTATGCCGATTAAAATGTTTCGCTTTTCAAGTTAGGTCTTGTACTCAGTCATACCGTGATTATTTACAAGGGATAACTAAAAGCTAACAGAATTGTCTTAATATACTTTCAAAAAATGTGCCCATTTCTTCAGGCCGTGCTGTTTTAATGGTATGATTGAATGTCCACCTCTCTTAAGTCTCTGGAGAAAGTATGTCTTACCTGATGGCAATTTGTAAAACAAGCAGCTGTCTATTACTGGTTATACTTATTTACTTATGCATTGTTAATTTTATGACCAGCCTAAATATTCTGGGGAAGTAGGGTATAATATTTAATGAACCATGATTCAGATTGTGCCATTACATTTTTCAGTACAGCATGGTAACTAACACTACGTTAGACTAACATATTAAAATCTGGATGAGAAGTTTAATGTTAGTGCTGGTCATATTACTTTTTGTTTAGACTCTTTGCTCATTCTTGAACTATATTTGTTTAAAGCATGCATACAAACTTATGTATTGAAATATACTTTTTTAAAAATCCAAGATGCTTCCAATTTGTTGTAATCTTTACCTGGAGTATTCTCACTAAAGTCTATTACAATGAGTTGTTTGGGTCTAAGGTGTCCATGTGAATCAAAAAAATGGGTGGTCTTATGTATGTGTAATTTGTACCCAAGTTTTTTTAATGAGTAAATTTACATTATGACTTTTTCCATTCATAAATATATAAGTGAACCAAAGGTCTTGTCCATTAATTTGTTGGTTTGCTTGGCAAATGAGTTTGGAATGCTAACGTAGCAAAATCATGGTTGTGTTATCCCAGGCGATGTACTAAAAAGCAAATGTTTGTAACATGACTTTATCACTGACAGAGGGCAAATAAATTAGATATGAAACCTGAATTACCCACTTACACAAACTCTAAAAGTTCTTTTCTTCCAAAATTAATTTTAGCAAGGGTTCTTGATTAAATCTCGTTATCTGCATACAGTAAGTTGGATCCTGTCTGTAGCCAAAATTGCTGTGTCTGGAAGCTCTGTCTAGACTTGGCAATGTGACCAGTCCAGCAGGGAGAGCTCAGGGTGTCTTTAGGATCCGAGCAAGGGTGAAACAAACACAGTAAGGCAGAGTGTGGGGTGTGTTTGGGTTTTTGTTGTTGCTGTTTGTTTTGGATTGGTTGCTGGGTTGTATTTTTGCCCTGGGGCCCTGCCTTTGTCCTTGAAGTGTTAAGGCAGCACAGGCAGAGTTGGAGATGCTGCACTTCTCTGCTTGGCAAATTTTGTACCTTAAGCTGAAAAAATAAACAAAAAACAAACCCCCAAAGCAGTAGTACAGAATAACTACTGTAACAGGGATGATCTGTGGACTTCTGAATACTTTTGTAATAGGGTGTCAAATGTGCTGTAGAAGTGAGTGATGGAAGCTGAGCTGTTGAACTGCATCTTTCCTTTTCTCCACTACAGCAATCTCAAGTAATTGATAATATACCTGTCTTTTGCTCTGAGGTGGAGAGCTTTTCATTTGTGTTCAATCCCTAAGGTGTACATGGGGTCTTCTGTAATAACCCTTTTCTATATATGAAATCCCAGGTAATTTTGAAGTTCAACAGCCTCGGAAACCATTCAAGCCCTCTATTTTTGCAGGAGTTTACCAGATAGAAATATGCATGCTCTGTTTATTAGTTGTAAACATGAGTGAAATTTGGAGCAACTTCAGTTCTGATACACTGATTATATTTATTCATACTGTGGCCTTTATGCATCAACATGTAAACATCTTCCCCCTTCTTACCATTAAGAGCCCCCACTAAAACAGTTGTACAACACATTTTGAGTTGCATGGCTTCCTACAATAAAACACTTTAAACTTCTTTTTTTTAAAAAAAAAAGAATTTCCAAAAAAAAAGTTTTCTTTTAAAAAAATAGTTTTTGGTAGCCTGTCTTGGAAGCGACTAACTTGGAGAGTGAGCGTAGGCACAGTCTGGTCGGTAGCTGCCTGGGCGCGCGGGAGCCGCTCTCACTTGTCCCGCAGGAGCACCATGTCCGTGAGCTGGATGAGGGCCTCCCTCTCGGGCGAGGGCCGCAGTTTGCTGATCTCCCGTGTGGCTTCGTGGCAGTAGCGCTGGGCGAGGTAGGTCGTTTGCTGCACCCCGTCACTCTTGCATAAGGACACAGTTACAAGCCATGGACAAGACATCAGCCTCCCCCCTGCCCTTTGCTGGCTAAAGTGGGAAGCGCTTCTGGTTTGTTAAGGTCAGTAAGCAGTCTGGATATTTAACAATTACGCTATGAAGGAAAAAGGGATTAATTCTTTATTCCCCGAATCTTACATTTCTTCCCCAAAATACTAAAGTTCATGTATGCTAAACTGAAGTGTATTACAAAGCAATACTGCTATTAATATGTTATTCAGTAGGACTAGAAGCTAATGTTTGAGAAGACACTGTCAGGACGCACTCCCCACCCCTGCTCTGCTGTTTGTTCTGCACAGTTACTCATGCAGTTACAACTAACGGAGCGCTCGTGCTGCGGATGCCAGACTGCTGGGTGGTCCCTGCTGCTCACACTGGCTGGTGGAACCCGCCACCCTGGAACCGAGCCCCAAACACGAACTTGCTGCTTACGGGGTTGGTGTTCTGCTTGGGGAAGCCGCGTGAAGAGCACTAACTGGGCCCTACGCGTAGCACGTGGCTCAGCACCCATGTGAAAGCACAGCCTTGCTCGCTGACTTCAGAGGCAAGGACGTTCAGATTAACTTCAGCATGGACAGCAAAGAGGAATGAAATATTTTATATCAGTCCTACCTGCAGCACATATTTCCGAGCACGTTCAACATCTCCTGGTTTACTGAATCGTCTCATTATCATAGCATTCATTTCTGGAAACTAAGCACAAAGGGAGAAGTCTTTATACTCTTATGAGCTGCTGCCATATAAAGAAGAACCACCGCGTGCTGCCTTGCCTGGCCACTGGTGTCCCTTCGAGGTAGAGTTACCACGGATACAGCAGTATGGTTAATCCCTTGAAACTGCACAAGACTGTGCTATAGCCAAGCTCCAGCATTTAAAATTTGCAACCGTGACACTGTGTAGCCTGTCGGTAGCAAATGTTAGCACCTGCCCTTCATCATGAGGAACTGAGGACCTAGTAATTCCTAGGGTATTCCGGGGAATCCCTCCAGGGGTACTGAGGCTGCTTCAGGTATTTCTGCATCGCAAGTGCTGGCTCCCACCTGTACACCCACCACAGAGAGGTTTGTTGTACAGATATTCCACCCATAAGGTCAAATAAAACCCTTACTGATCCTGTGGCATCCACTTGTCCCTTTCAGTGCTTTGGTATTTTACAACTGTAGCTGGTGCATACAGAGAGCCAAGGGCGGTGCAGCATTTGTCCACGTGCGTAAACAACACAGCAAAGAGGGCTTGGGTAAGAAAGATCCTGCCAAATGGGTTTGTGGTGAAGAGGAGGGATTTTTTTTTTTTTGAAGCAAGAAACAGCTGTTCAAATAGCCAAATTATCTCAAATACTGTAAGCACTACTAGCCTAAAAAAAAAATCTGCTGTTCACCTGGAGCACAAGAAAATTTGACTAAAATCAGTGAGTTGGTTTTAATCTGCAGCTTCAAAAATCTGCAGCTACTGCCCAGCTTAATGTTCATGTGGCCAAAATCAGCCGTTTTCAGCTACTCAGCTCTGTATCTAAGCCACACATTTCTCTACTGGCACCCGACCTTCCCTTCGTAAATACAGACAAGCTCGGTGGCAAGAGCCCAACAAGGGCTGTAATGTGTTGTTGTTCCCAAGCGCCTACAGGGTGTCATTGGCAGTGCACAAGCAATAGCCTATAAATCAGCTCAGGGGTCCGAGCCAGTCACTGTACCCCTCCAGTAAACGTGCTGAAACTTCCTTCCCTCCGACGGGCCAGAAAGAGAAATCTTGGGGCCTAACTAGCAAAGCAAGACCACAGCTTCAGAGGAAGTCGCTGTGGAGGAATCCTTTGAAAGGAATGGGGAATTTGCTCTTCTGCCTGGAAGGCAGAAGGTTCCTGTACTGCAGCACCTGTGGGCAAGGATGTGCTTTCCTTGCACAGCTTTGCTCTTGAAACCAAGTATCTGCAAAACTGTTGTTCGAGACCAACACGTTGTGGAGAACAACATATTTTATTGCCATGACACTCTGTTACTCACAGCGCTCCTCTCCTACAGAAGATACATTTAAAAGTTTATTAGTGACTCAGACTTGGCTTTTTCTAGATTCCAGTTTCCTTCCCATATAATGACAATTTAATTGCAATGTTCATATTATTCATTGTCATATTATTTATGTTTACAATGATATAGGGAGCACATTGCCTGACTTTTTATATTTAAGCCCTAAATAATATAAAAATCCCAAACCTTTAGTGGGAAGCTATTATTAGCAGTATGTAGCAGTACCATTTAAAGGGTAATATAGAAACATTTGATAGGAATGCTTACATTGAAAACAAACTGCATGAGCTGTGCTATTTTAAAAGTGACTTTAGAATTAGCAGAACTACTGTAGATTTCTTTTAAAAATGTTATTTTTTTCTTGAAAGAATAAACTTTAAGTACTGAATAAATAAGAAAAAATACTAAAGTTGACCTAAACATTTTTGCATAAAGCTCATTCCTCAATATTCCAATGCAAACAGATGCATTGTAGAGGGAGGGGAGAGAAACAGGAAAGAAGGTCATCGCTTGAAGAGCCAGGCACACTACAAGTATCTTTGTCAGGAAGACGACAGGAGGGTTTCAAGATAAATCAGAGGCTGTGCAAGGGAACAGTAATATTAATTTCAAACAGAGAAAAAAAAAAGGAAAGCAGCATATAATTAACAATCACATTTTGGGCTACTTCAAGTTCTTTCGTCATGAGGTTGTATTCTCAGATACAAGCAGATGAAGCATCCCTTAGTAATTGCACAGATCAGTGTCTGTTCAGAAGAGCTCCAAATCTGAGCACTTATTTTGTTTATACATCATAAGTCTAGAGTGCTGTTCCATGAATTTCTTAACTACAGCAGGAAATTATCAGCAAAAAAGCCTTCTGGTTCTTGTGGGAAGCTTGGTAAGGTGTTTGGATACCTTTCAAAGCAAAAACTGCACTTGCCATCTAGGGCAAAAATAGACATAAGGAAGTGTTCGAAAGTGCCCTACCAAGAACAAGGAAGGTTTTAAAATAGAACCTACAAAGTTATTTTCTGTCCTATTTTTCTATTACAACCTTACCTCTTATCTGATAAAACTCATAACTGATATTGGTGAGGTTCAAAGTTAGAGGCAGGCAGCACAAGTATATGATTAAATACATAGCTTTAATTAAAAATCTGGAATAGTCAACACCCATAAGACAATCAGCATTACCCATTTGCTGCCAAATCATATTTAACGTCTCTCTAATGCGCTTGATTTTCTCTAAAAGTATTTAAATATATATGTGTGAGTATATATATATATATATATCATGACCACTGCATCCTCTTTCTGTACTCTAGTACCCAAGACTGTCACTGTCCCTCTAATCAACTCCAGTGGCCGATGACTGCTCAGATTCTGTTGCGTAGGATCAAATCCTGAGATACTGATTCCAAGTTCACGGCTCCCACGGACAGGCTCGGATGGGGACACTGAGAACAGGGAGCGGGGTGGTCTCCGGATCCGCTTTCTTACATGGCCAGTACTCTTTGCTTTCCTGTCCTTTCTGAGTCACACGTCCTCATAAATGCTCAAAGGATGAGGGAAACAAACAAGCACACACATTCTTTCTCCTGCTCCCAAAAAATCTCTTTTTTAAAAAATTTTGTTTATTTTTTTTCAGAAAAAAAAAATAAATCAAAGTTGTATTTTATTGACAAGCTATTTAAAACTTTTCTTCGGTCAGGTTTTGAGCAATTCCAATGAGAGATCGCAGACTACAGCTCCTATTCAAAGTGGCTGGGGCCAATCTTGTATCATGCAGTGAAGTTTGTTTGGAAGGACTGGTTTGCAAGTCCTACATCTTTTTAGCCCCGTTGACCCAGAAGCTCGAGCAAGGTGCAGCATCTTCATTAAACCAACCACTCCCTTCCCCTTTTGTGCGTTAGCACCATTTTAATTTCTTTTTTGGTGCTGGTGACACTTCTGTTTGCCTTGCACTCTTCCAAATCACCCTTGAGCCACTGAAAACCTGATTTTAAGCTTATGGTCCTCATTTCTCTTCTGCAAGCGAACCTTTAGTACCTTCACCTTTAGAAGCACAACTGCAAAGAATGGAAAGCTCCTCCCTTTTGTAAGCAACAAGCTTGGAAACAAAACAAAGGCACTAAATCCAGTGAAGGATAGAGGTGCCTGCCTAAAAACTATGCAGATAGTTTAAGAACTTGGCCCCAGAATGGGTACGAAATCCAGAATTTGGCAAAAAGGGCCATATTCAGAGCCTGGGGAGAACAGGATGTCTCAGCAAAGACCACGAACAGGAAGCTGCTTAGGACTAACCTCCAGAGAGCAGGCTGGAAAGCCCTGGAACCGCTGGCCCTCTCCCAGGGTCAGACATTTGCACAGTGCTGCTTTCAGTACTAGGCCTAACAGTTAGAGTGCCCAGGGAGGCGGCTGTTTGCCAACCAGAAGAACATGTATGTGCAATAAATGCAGCTATCTTGAAAGCTTTGCCCTTTAGTACACGGCCAGGGCACGTTCACCTCTCATGCTGCAGGTCTGTGGTATTTCAGCTGGTCCTCTCTGCACGTGCTCTAAAGTGGAACTGCTCCGACACAGCAAACACACCCAGCAGAGGAGGGAGGATGGAAGCTCCTGACACAGATGAAAGCTGAAAACTTTGTGGCTGAACTTTACTTTGCACCCTCTCTAAAGCTTCCTACATTTTCTACTTGGTGGATTCCAATTTCCCTCCCAGTCTCAGACGATGGCATAAACACAGACAACTCCTTTCTTGTGGAGATGTGATTTTCCTGTTTTCCGTTTCACCATTAGATCCATGTAGCTTAGATCTTGAAAACACTATTTTAAGATTCAAAGGTTTATTCTTTACCCTCCTCAGTTCTACAATACTTCCTAATATTAACATCTACCAGTATTGTCACTACAAACAAACGGAAGACAGCGTGCAGCTTGCTTGCTGCTCAGCTTGGGTAACTGTGCAGTCACACTATTGTGTCTTCCCTTAAAGTCAATTTTTTCTCTTCTTTGTAAATGCTTAGAAATCTTCAGAATGAGAAAGGAAAAATGCAATTGCAAAACCACTGTTGCCAGGGAAATCAAGAATACAACAGTGACTAAAACCATTTAATTAATTCACAGATTAAAGTACAAAATATCCTTTTAAAAGAACAATGCCCACTTTCTTTCTGGCAGGGAGAGTTCCTGTGGACTTACCTGTCGACAAGCAAACAAGACAGGGCCCGTGGCCAATCCCAGCTTGAGATCTGCTGCTGCTGGTTTCCCCAGATGGTCAGCACATGATGTAAAATCCAGCACATCGTCTATTAGCTGGAAGAAGATAAACATACAGATTAATTATCATTTTTACATTAGAGAGAACTAAGTATAGAATAATCTTCATTAAAAGAAGATTTATAAAGGCAATTTAAACAGACCGCATTGATTTCAGGGCAATTCTCAAAACTTTAAACTTCAGATTCTCATTAGTTCAACAAAAGTGGAGAAATACTCTACCTGAAAAGCTATGCCAACATTCTTCCCATACTGGTAAGCAATCTCATGAACTTTGGGATCAGGGCAGCCTAGAATAGAAACCTGAAAAGGAAGAAAAAAAGGGGAGGTGGGAGGAAGAAAACAGAAAGCTTTAGTTGGAAGCCACTGCTAGTGCCTGTCCGAGCAGCAGGCAGCTCCCGCAGGAACCTGGGAATGGGGGGAAAGCAGGAATCACACCCAGGATTTGCCAGAATCCCAGGAATCTGGGAAAGGTCAGCAGCACCTTCCTGGCTATCTCTGCTTGTGGATACACACAAAAAACCAAGCCCATGAGAGAGCAAGAGTGAACTGCAGTGCAGCATTAAAAATAAATTCAAGTCTTGAGCTTAGGTGTATTATTTATTTATCAGGGACAGAAATCATAGTGCAAGGGTGGTGAGAGACAAAATACAGGTGCACTGCACATGCAGACTGGTAGTCATTGACAGCCCAGCGACAGGGGAATGAAATGTGTAGAAATACATATATAAATCAGCCATGGGATAACTGGAGGTCTGATAACAGATAAATGGACATTACAAGCGTCATTAAAGAGCCACAACACTTGAAGGGTTGCACCTAATTTAGGAGGACAGGTGAGATGAAAGTTTTTTTTAGAGGTGATGTTGACTACCCAAACTGAAGGTCTCATGAAGATGAGAGGAGAGTGTGCAGAGAAAAGGATCAATAATGAGTGGCAAAGAAAAACAAGGTAGTGAATGAAGGAAATCCAAAGAGTTAGATAAAACTATCACAAACTGAGACAAACAAATAACCACTTTAGTCAGGGATGGGTACAGGAACTGACTGTGACAAAAAAGTTTTGCTGAGCAAACTTTACAAAGCAGCCTATAGGACCCATGAAGATTTGAGAATAAATATCTTGTCCCAAGATAAGATACTAAGGTTTCTGCATTTATATACTGATTAAATATTTTGCCAAATTAGGTTGGTTATACTTAAAGCACTCTGCTTAATGCTAGCCTTCAATAAAGCAAGTAGGGGGCAAGAATCCAGACATGTACTGCTGCAACTAACTGAAGGAGTGAAGATAAATTTTTACTTAATTTAAAACCAAAAATATGTGCTAGGAAAACACATACACAAAAATTATTCAATGGTAATGAAATATAGGATAAACAACAACAACAAAAAAAACAGTCTCAGAAGAGCTGAGGAGGGGACCATGAAGATGGAAGCAGGAAAAAAAAACACTAGATACTGAAGGATATAAACATATTGCACCTTGCGCAAGCTCACAGACTATCATCTCATGTGTCACTGCATTTCATTCTATTGAACACCAGAAAGTCTTCAAGTTGTTACCTGGATAACTAATAAACCATGAGGAATCTGGGTGGCTTGATAAAACAGTAAGAAAGAAAAGCAGAGAAGTGATGCTGCTTAATTTATGTCGAATCACACAGAGTCCTGAATGAGTAAACTGGAATTACAAGGCATGTAAATAAAAGTTGTCAAGGTCTATCAAACTGGAACATCGTGCCCTTTTATCCTCCTTTTGATACTTGTCTCTTAATTGGTACTATTTGCCCCAAAAAGCTGACATCTTCCACTGCTACACAAATCCCAGCAAACTTCCAGTTGCTTCTGTAATAAGACCCAAACAAGATCAGCAAGGCTGCATCTAACCTGTGTCAAAGAAATTTTAGCTATCACCAAATTTAGTCTAAAGAATTGAAATATGAAATTCAGTAGATCAGTTTTGTTTAAATGGATGTTTTTGACAAAATCCTCATTAATGGCAAGGGGTCAGAGTTGGGAAAATTGGTAGAGGGGGAGAGGAAGAGCTTTTTCCTTTAATTGTAAAGTCAGAGCAGAGCTATCCCTGCTGGCAGAATCTCCTGTGGACACAGACGTTACTTGTATA